CGGGTACAAAGGCCATGTACGTATACACATTATGTACCTTTATATTACGTACACACGTGATGCACATGTTGCGCTAACTGCGCGAGTTTCATAATACTCGTTCTGCAATTGAGGGAGAAAAAAGGGGGTAAATATAGGTTAATAATTAAAAATCGCGAAATTTCGTTAGCTTCAAGATTAAAGAGAAGCTTGCAGTGCACACGTATAGATATACATATAGGCTGTGGCTCGGCTACGAAGCTTTGTTTTGGCGAATGCTTTCTGACACGTGCCTCTATATATATTAATGAGCTGAAAAAAAAAGTAATGCGCAATACCACCTCCGTATACAGGGGCAATAATCGACTTTCTTGTTTTTGGCTATAGAGAAACGAGGGATGGTGATGCAAGTGTATGAATATAGAAGAAGACGAAAGAAAGGGAGATAAGGCACCTGCGTGTACACAGCTGTACCTATATATACATAAATATACGTGCAAAAGGGCGGGNTCGGTGGTGTGTGTGTGTGTGTGTGTGTGTGTGTGTGTGTGTGTCCACCCGAAGCGTCCGTCGTTTCAAATGTTGCCAATACTTGCCTGCCCGTTAGGTTCACTCAACCCATTTTTTTTTTTTTTTAATAAGCAGAGACAATGTTAGACCGAAGCAAGGATATCTTTAATTAATACACGCGACGATGCTATACCTCTGCACACGGCTGTCACCGAAATAGTAACAACTCCGGTGAAAATAAGTCAAAGTTTTCTAGCTAAACGCCAAAATTTCGTTACTGCGTCTCGTTTAAGATCGCGCTATGAAATATGCACTCTCGAAAGATCTCGCGTTTCAATTGCAGCCAGCGGAAGCTTTTAATAGCGCCTTACAGGTACATAATGTACCCACTGCTCTATAAGTTATTCGCGAAATAATGCGATTTTTGCCCGTTTGGGCGAAAACTCAATAGACGTCGTTCCCCCAGTATCGCTCGCGAGCATATATTATGTTACAAGCGCAAGAAACGTCATGCATTTTACGGCTAATCGCGTTTGTACCTCTTGCAAATTCATATTTCAAAGCCTCCTCCTGACATTGGCTCGTATAATGGACGCGATTTTACAAACTTCTCGCGAGACTCGGCGCTTTTCTCTCTTTTTCCTCGTTTAATATGCTCCCCTCCCCTGTAATTATCGCGATCGAAGTGTATGAAAAAACATGTTTCTCGTTCGTCGAACTCTTCATTATGATTACTGCTATTTCGCCTCGAGTATACACCATGTGCGGATTCTATATTCGCACTGGTCCTTGCTTCAGTTTCACCTCCACACAAAGGAATAACATGAAAGCCTTGATTGTGGATTAAAATACAAAATCCACGTTGCCCGTAACCAATCGTTTTTCCCTCGCTCGTATAAGTGTACCCATTCGCAAAAATGCACCAGAGCACGCGAGAGTGTAGCGCAGGGGCGCAGCATCTGTAATTTTATCCAAACGAGCACACACACATGTAAGACGTGAGTAACGAATCAGCACGCATGTGGGCTTTCAGGTATGCGTATACATCACACAAATGCTGCGAACGATCGGGAATGGCCCCGTTTCGTGGCTCATCCTCATTGAAATCACTGACCATCGTATAGGCTGTACCATCGACGTTGCACTCGAGATTGCACAATGTAACGCATACACGTGTACAGTATGAAGGAAAAAAACGTGCGACCTGCCAAAGACATTTTCTTTCCCTTTGCTCGTCCTATACGAATGGGTTGTATTATCAGCCATGACCAATGTACGGGAGTGCCTTTTATAATTTTGTCGGAGCAAAAAGTGTAATCACTTATAAATCGTCTGTTTTTAGTGTAAAACAAATTTTTAACCTAGTGAGTTGATCACATGGTATATGTGTGGATGGATGTATGTACGTACGTCATCAAGTATTTCGACCGACTCAAGTTATTATGATCCAAATGGGCTGAAATTTTATTCAAAAATTACAGATCTTGGATATGATAACAGATAAATAATATCAAGCGCCTTTTGCTCCGGCACCTCGTAGATTGGTCGTGCCTTACACGCAAGACATAGTGTTTTGTAAATATAATGTATAGGGTACGTGTACGCAAAAGCAGCAGCCGAGGGCGTTAGTTGGTGTATACGTGTATCCATACCGTTTGCAGTTAAACAATATTACGCAGTAAAATTTATGGCCCCTCGCGTAACGTACAGTATAGCTAGCTCGGCTCGTACAATAATATATATATATATGTGTGTGTGTGTGTGTGTGTGTGTGTGTGTGTGTGTGTGTGTGTGTGATTTTGCCGTCGGGGAGAGGGAGAAAAAATGGGTGGTAAAAAGTGTATTTATACATCGGCGAATGTGCGATATGAGAAATATGCCCACGCGTTATGACCAGCCCCGAGCTCGTCTTTTCGACCCATCACCTATACACTTTCATGGTCCGTTTGGTATTTCTCTCTTGGTTTTTCATACGAGTCTCATCGGCTTTTCGACTTCCCGTGTGCAACATTTTCTCATCTCCTCGACTGTATATTATATATTATATACTCAACACGATCTATTGCGTTGTGAATTCATTTTTCCGCCCTTTTGTTGCACCGCGAAATTTTAGTGCCAATGAAAATACGAAAACTTGGCGAATGCATCTGCGCGAGGTATAAACGAAAGACAATGTTTTTTTTTTTCATTGCTGGGTACTATTCTGCAGTTTACGAATGAAAGTATTTTGTGTACTTTTCCTGCACCGGGTATAATTCGCGCGTTCGGTCGTCGAGAATGTTTTTTCAGTCCTCGACGGTAGTAGTAAAATTTTTATCGTTTTCTGCGTACATTTTATAAGTAACAATCAAACCGTAACATAATTTCCATGTAGATACAGCCCCGTACGGGCACTGCTTACGAGTATAAAAAAGCTGGATAAAAATGATTTTTTTCCCTGGAACCACGAAACTCGCAACGGTAAACTTAGACTTTGAGAGAAAACCCTCGGGTTTCACAACAATTAAAAAGAAAAAAAATAAATAAACACACTAATGGACCTCAAACCATTTGTAAGTTATTAAGTCTGACTCCAGGGCGCAAGACACAAGCGGGAAACAACCGCGACCGTAACAGCGAGAGGAAGAGCCGATTCCAGGCCCGGAGTCGTTTTCCCGACTCTTTACTTTATAAAAAGCGAGCAATATTCTTCCGTCAGAAACTGTAGCTGCTCTCCCCGCGTTTTCGCGTTTACACCCTTACGCTTTTAATATCTTATACACCGTATAGGTACGGAAGTTGAGAATCGTACCGCCACCACGGCGGTGTCGAGTGAATGCCGAAGCCCCTCCCATCGACTTCTTTCGATCTCCTTCCCTTCTCTGATCTCATGAGTACACTGCACTCACTCTTGCGATATCTGCAGACACGGGTCTTTGCAAGTATAAGTATGCGGTTATTTAACTATGATAGGCCTGAACCGATCAAGTGTGACTTGACGGTGTTTTGCGATTTTTTTTTTCTCTTACGTGACACAAAATAACATTAAATAACGTGCCGGCTCGTTTTTAAGGAATTTCATCGGAATCGTTGGCCCGAGTAGGTATTCAAGACAGATACTACTTCAAGTGACGACCCCTCCCTCCCTCAATTGAAGATGTAAAAAATTAATAGACATTAAATAACCGCGATTGCGTTTGAGATCGGTATCGTATATAACGCCAATTCTTATATTGTTATTGTTTTCATCGGGTTTTCCTCTATCTGCACAATTAACAAGTGTACAGTTGTAGGTATAATTACGGCACGCAAAATCGGCAGCTCTGACGAGAAGGCGCGTTTGTGTATACATACCGTAAAACTTTGCCGAAGCGGAAAAAAAAACAACGAATCGGTAGCCGATCGGTATATGGATATCATTACCACCCTCCTCTCATAAATGAGAGCTCCGACAAAGTGACAAACCACCAGAGCCAGCCGTGGTTGTCCCTTGATGCCGATTTCTCATAGGAGCGCGCGCGCACACCGATCTCTTTGCCGGTTAGCGCGCTATGTATGGATACAGTAGGCAGTACAGGTAGGCAGGCAATCAGGTGGCCGGGGCTGGGGGGAGGGATGGAGTCGAAGAGAGAGAGAGAGAGTATCGAAGCTAGGCAGGCGTCGAGAGGCGGTCTCTGGGGGAGGCGGGGCCTGGCCGCGTGGGGCCGGGGGCGGCAAGCTCGGCACCTGCACGGAGAAAGAGAGAGCGACGACGCCGGTCGCGAGTAGTGTATATAGGTAAACATGTTTATATACATCGACCATTGGACGAGGAGGAGGAGAGTGGCCGCTACCGCGTGCTTCGCCATGCACGTGTGTATAGCCTGTGTAAGCGTGTGTGTACGTGTACTCGGGAGGTGGGGGTGAGCGAACGAGCCCCAAGAGGGGAAGGAATCAGCTGCCGCCTCGCGCTTGCCACCCGCGCAGCTGGGGTATACACACATGTATACATATCACCCAAGAAACGTGAGAGATAGAGAGAGCGCGTGGTGAACGGGGCGTGCGACCGGCGGGAAGCGGCGCGTCGTGCAGCAGGGAGCCCCTCAGTCGCGACGCGCTTGTCACGCGGTGCACATCGTCGTCTGCTTGTCGAACGTAGCTCGCGCTAACGGACGTAATACTGTCGATGCACTTTATCATCGTTTCGTTCAATGTTGTTTCGAGTGTACATTCGTATGATATGTATACGTATAACCGAGCCGTCCTGCTGTCGTCGGGAGCCGCGTTTCGGTACAAAATGAATGAGGGGTGCGTCGAGTGAAACCGACACTATATTATACACAGCTGTGTAAAATCCGCTGCCTGCACGGACACTCCGGGAGTCATCGGTGCGAGAGCATCAGCAGGGGACCAAACGATACACATACACGTGCGACATCCTCAAAACAAACAAACAAACACAATTTGGCTCCGAATATAATTCGCATTATACCTGTACATGTGGATATTATGTAAATAGTTGTGCGCGCGTCCCACTGCCAGGTGGTCAACGACGAAAAAGCGGGACATTTAAATGCCCGGGTTCATTCATCGGGTCTTCTAGTCGTGTGCTTGTGCCGTTGTTGTTGCCCCCACCGGTACCCGACAAGTGCGATAACTGTTATTTGTTATTGTTGTTTTAGTTATCCATTGTTGTTATTGATATTGTTGTTGATGATGTTGTTGTTTGTAAGTTGTGCGTAGTAGTTGGGTGATGATGCGCAAGAGACAAGAGACAAAAGTCGCGAACGATGTTGTTGCAGATGCAGGAGCGAAGGCTGTAGTGTTGCGACAGCTAGTACAGCCGTATGTAGTGCAGTGCTCGAGGAATACCCGTTGTCCCGATAGACGCCGGCTACGCGGATAAAACGGCAGTCACGACGGCGACGACGGCGAGCAACAGCAGTTGCGGAGGCGGTGCCGACCGCGAGGAGTGCCGGGAGGAACCCGAGCTCAGGCTGTCGGGAAACACCGACCCCTGTGCCGGTACAGCCGGAGAGGACAACAACAACAACAACAACAACAACAACAACAGCAGCAGCAGCAGCAGCAGCAGCAACAGTAGAGCAGCGTCCGCCACAGAAGTGGAGGCTGCGGAGGTCGAGGAGGAGGAGGACAGCAGGATGGCGGACAGCAGCAATAGCAGCCAGCACCAGAGCGGGGCCGGCTCGCCCCAGCAATTTTGCCTTCGCTGGAACAATTACCAGACAAACTTGACGAACGTCTTCGACCAGCTTCTACAGAGCGAGAGCTTCGTCGACGTGACCCTCGCCTGCGACGGCCACTCCGTCAAGGCCCACAAGATGGTCCTCTCGGCGTGCAGTCCCTACTTCCAGGCCCTCTTCTTCGACAACCCCTGCCAGCACCCGATCGTCATTATGAAGGACGTCAAGTGGCCCGAGCTCAAGGCCGCCGTCGAGTTCATGTACAAGGGCGAGATTAACGTCTCGCAGGACCAGATCGGCCCGCTCCTCAAGGTGGCCGAGAGCCTCAAGATACGGGGCCTCGCCGACGTAAGCAGCGAGCACGAGCTCACGTCCCGGCCGAGCCTCGAGGAGAGCCTCAACCTCGCGGTCGCGGCCAGCGGTGGCTCGAGCGCGCCGGCCCGGGCGAGCAAGAAGCGCCGCATGACCTCGGGTGATCGTTCACCGAGCCAGACCGCGGTCGGCTGCAGTCCCGAGCGCAACGCCGGCAACGAGCGGGACGAGCAGGACTCGGCGAGCACGGGCCACGACAGCCACGGCCTGAACTCGTCCTCGACGCCGCGCAGCCTCGGCTCCCCCAGTGTGCCGAGCATCAGCGTGACGCCTCAGATCAGCCTGCACGAGATGCCCGTCAGTCTGTCCCTGCCACCGCCGCCCATGCAGCCCCCGACCCCGCACGGCCAGTCTGCCGGTGGCGCCGGTGGTGGCCACCACGTGTCGGTCGGCCACGTGGGCTCGGCCGGTGCTGGCTCGCACACGCCCGTCAACCACCTGAGCGCCCACTCGGTCGCCCAACAGCTCTCGGTCGCCCAGCACCAACAGCAGGCGGCCCACCACCACCACCAACAGCAGCAGCACCACCACCACCAGACCAACCAGGGGGGCCAGCCCTCCCTGACCGACGACGACATCAAGCCCGGGATCGCCGAGATGATTCGCGAGGAGGAAAGGGTGAGTCTCTTTTTTTTTCACACTTTTTTTTTGCATTTGCACGAACTCGCGGCGCGCCGTTTCCTCCGCGCGTTCGCCTTGATTAAGACTGCAATTAGTCATTATTACTAGTTCGCGGAATCACATTACTCGCGGGCCGATTATTATTTTTCTTTTTCTTTCCCCCCCCCCCCCCTTCCCGTTCTTTTTATTTTCCAAGTATACATGCACTCAGCCGCCACGTACGCATACGTATGCGTGCATTTATAAATACAAGTAATGACCGGTCGTGCGCGCACACACGATATTACATGTGTACGTGTAATATACATATAGACGCGTTATCCTTATATTATACGTCCCGTTAAACATCGTGTGTGTGTGCACACGAGGGGTTGGGGAGGGGCTCATTAAAAATGGCTGTACTTCAATTACAAAAGTAATTACGGCACTCCGTGCTCCTCTAGTTTCTAGAGAATGGTACCTATGTATACAGGTGTATATATCGAGTGCACGCGGCTCTCGCTCGAAAAATAAAGCGGAATGGAGCGAAATAAGAAAGAAAGAAAGAAATGAGGAAAAAAAAAAAAAAAAAAAATTGAAAAAATAATAAAGAATTACAAGCCGTGGATACTGCAGGTATACATAAGAGTAGCACGCTTCTTACGCGTCGAACATCAGAGATAAAATGACTTGGAGCGTTTATTATTATTATTATTATTATTATTATTATTATTATTATTATTATTATTATTATTATTATTATTATTATTATTATTATTATTATTATTACTATTACACATATACTGTTGGGATGAGGAAAAATCGCTCGTCTGACGGCGATATTGTCCGCTGCTGCAAGGAGAGATGGAAAAAAAGTAAGGGGGGACGATTGCGTGCCCCCCCCCTCCTTTCCGCGCTTCTTCGTCGTCTTCGTCGTCATTCTCTCGTGATCGTAAATTAAATTAAATTGCTCGAACGAGCCTGACAAAGATAGTAGTGCTTATATTATACACGTGGATAGTGTGGCTGTGTGTACCCATATGCAACATACACATTGGTACTAAACTCGCAAACGTTCATTTATTTTAATACACGTGTACATATAAATGTACATAAAAAAAAAAAAAAAAAAAATGTAATTATAGCGCATACGGATGTATACACTGCGTACAAACACACACTCCCGTATGGGCGAAAAAACATCTAGCAGCCCAAATAAAGAAAGAACAGCAAAAAAGAGGGGGAGCGAGAGCGAAAAATTTAATCTCCCTCGGCTCGCATGCGTGTATTATATACTACGTACCTTTTCGGCAATAACGCAGAAAGCATCGCGCACGTTAGGGTTGGTGCACCGGTTTTTGTTTTTCACCCCTCCCGGATTGGGGTGTGGGGGGGTGGAGAAAAGTGCACCCCACGCGGTTAAGTTACGCTCGTACAAGGGGTGGCGACGAGGACAAAACAAAACCCAAAATAAACAAAAGGAAGAGAAAAACCGGAGGGGCAGTAAATCGAGAACGGCGCGCTATGATCCTTCTCCTGCAGGTGCCGGTGTATATACATTTATATACGTGCAACCGGACGCGAGGACATATTTTCTTTAGCGCGCGGCGCTTTTAAATTAGTTCGCTCTTCCCGCGAGCGATCGTAGCTCTCGATACAACGGTTACACACCTATACCCCCAATCGCAATAGTATACGTACGTGTAGGTGTAACACAGTCGCAAAGGGGGATGGCGCCGGCCGAAGTGAAGCGAAGAAGCGGATCGCTATCTGTCGAGTCGATGTGTGTATACTGTACATATGTGCGTGCGTCATCCCCCTCGGCCAGGATTCCATCGCGGGTATCGCGTACATATTATATACTACGCGTGGATCGCGCGGTACACCGTGTACACACGTAAGCGATACATCAGGAAGAATCGTTTCGACGCTTCGTACGTCCGTCTGTCCCTCCCCCGCAGCCCGTATAAATATATACGTGCACGCGGGGCTCGGGACACACTCGTTACTGCCTTGCTGCGCTTTTTTTCTTCCTCCCGTCCCCACAGCTCCCGTGCACGCGTGTACTATACTCTCGCCTCGCGACAGCAGAGAGACGCCGAGCGATACGCCCCAAATTGAAAAGTTTGATGTATTAAAATGCTTCGGCGCCCTCCCTTGCACCGGCTCACCCTTTTTCCCTCCCTCTCGCTTCCATCCCGTGCCGCAGCTTAGGTGATGGTGTTGGACGACGGAAGGGCTTTTGTGCGCTGTTTTCTTTCTTTTTCTCTCCTATTTTTTCGAGCGCCCCCTTTTTTTTTTTCGTTATCTTCGGCGGAAGAGCGGGAGGGGCCGCACCACCGGGACGTAAATTTTTTACCGCTCTTTCGGCGCAGGGCGCTCTCGAAATCGTTCGGTGATGCGAGGCTCGTGTTTTCAGAAATGAGCGGGAGTTGGTGGGAAATTCACCCGCGACACGTGAGAACCGAGCGCGGTTCCCTTTGTGGTGACAACAGGGCGATGTTGGATGAATTTGTTGTTGTTTTTTTTTTAGATGATAATATGCACCCGTTCGGCACACAAAATGGGTATATTGTTTAAATAATAAAATTAATGAGCTAGCTTTTACTAATATATATATTATCGAGTTGCGATAGCTTGCTCGTGTGATACAGTACCAAGATGGCCTTATTATCAAGAGTCTGGGCCACAGTTGCATAAATCATTACGATAGCATTATGCATACATGCGCGAATTATTAATCTTTTTTTTTCTATATGAATTTATTCGATAATGTACAGCCTAGGGAATTTTTAACTTTTTAATCACTATCCACTCCAGCACATTTAATACGTAATGAAAAATTTGCCGTGACTTTCCATTAGTTTTTCGTGCGATTATTTAATAAAATGCATATTTTACTATTATCTATAAATCCACTGCAATTATTATATGCAGATGGTCTTAATGTGTTAGGAATATTATTAAAATACGTATGAATTTTGTTACAAACTTACCGCATAATGTAGAGCCATCCAACGTATACTCATGTTTCCTTTTTGAATATAATCGATCGAATGATTTTTTTTTTCCCAAGCACTTTTAAGTATGCATCAAAGAAAAATGCAATCTGAATTAAAAAAATGGCACTATAATTTAGGAAACTTTTGTACTCATCTAGTCCGAGATTTTTTGTGATAACATACAAATACTATTATTTTATTTCAATTTAGTAAATTAGCAACTAACCCACCATATGATTCTTCAGATTAATCGATTTATTAAACTACAATAATGTACAACAATCACCTGAAATGCATCATTTTTTTTTTGTCAATGTATTTTACTTTTAGTAAATTCCCTTTAAAATATATTTTTCGATTTTAACAGTTGTGTCTTTTATGCAACAGCACAATTTTTAGTTTGCATCAGTCAAACCGATAGTCGCATTCCAAGCCTTCAAATATAATGCACGCGTCACCTCTAGATCCGTAGTAACTCTAAGAATCGACGATTAAATACTCTTGTCCTCTACTTTATAAAACTTATAATATACATGTACATTCGTTTTCTAAGACACAACAATGACGTAGTCATCTCGTGTTACGAAAGAAAAAGAAGAAGAAAAAAATGGTATGTTTAAGCAGGTGTTAATCATTTGACCTTACATAAAAATATTTGAATAATAAAGAAGAGAGAGAGAGAGAGACGAAGAAACTAAATGCATAGAGAAGCTTTTATTAAACGTTCACGGAATATTTATGAGTTCAAACAGAAGATAAATCGTTTGATTACGCGCGCGAGCGCATAAACGTACGCGTGTGCACATGTGTTGGTTATCTTGTATAATTTTTTTTTTTTTTTTTTTTTCAAACCAGAATTAGAATTTAACTTTGGATTGCGCAACCGAATTATAAATTAAAAATATTTGTCCATCGGTACATTTGACGCAACGCCAATTGAATTTTTTTCACGATAAAACGCCTTACGTAAGCCTATGATGAACAAGTAGCCATTTGTCTTTTGACACAATAACTCGGTGTGAAAAGGGAAAAAAAGGAAATATTTATTTTATTATGAAAAAAAAAAAAAAAAACTTACGCTCCACAGCATCGTTGTCGTCATCCACCCAATATAAATAGAGTCCGGGAATCACAAGTATAAATTGAATTCGAGAGAGTGAGAGAAGAAAAAGGTTTCGACGAAGGGAACCACTTAACGGCCCATGGACAACCGAGTCATTCCAAACCGCCTACCATACCATTACACACTGGTGGTATATAGCTCGACATTAATATTATACCGTCGCAGCAGCAACATTCCAATGGTTAACGATTTCAAGCGCGAGTGTCCTATATAGTATACACTGACTATAAACGAGTGTGTGTTTGTATGTGTATCGTATGATAAACACGATATTTAATAAGCACATACGCGCGCGAGCTTCCATCCACGAGTACGAATGCCATCGGGGTTGCTATACGTACATGTATTTGTATACCCGCTGTGCCTACTATGTGTTTTAAATATTTCGAAAATTGCCTTCGTAGGAAATGAGCTCCCCGCGTTTATTTATAATGGCCATACTCGGAACGTACGCATGTATACAAAAAGCGGTGGCCCGGCCCTGCTATACACCATACAAAAACCTCTCCCATCGGGTATAGATACGCACTTAACTCGATATTCCATTTCCGAAGCTCTCCCGCTTCTTCTGTTTCTTCTGCCGTTGTTGGTTATCATCATCCAGCTTGCGATCGCGATGATGGCACAAGGCGTGCAGAGACCCTTTTTTCACTCCTACTCCGGCAGCATCAACCCGCGAGAACATGGATATGCACCTGTGCGCCCCCACCCCCTTTTTTTTGCACCCCAAGGGGGTGCACAGGTTACGGCAGTCTCGCAAGAAAGGAGCAATAGAGTGAGAGGGGTTTGGGGGGTATGAAGAAGTAATCCGTCAAAGTCGAAAGTTCGGCAGGGGCAACCTTAGCGGCTGCAAAATTTTCCATTTTCAAAATGGCATGGCGTTGTAGAACCGC